AAAACTAGAAGCAGTAAGTTATATTTTTAGTTTGTTTCATCCAAAGATATTAATAAAGGTCCTAGCCTTACTTGAATTATAGAATTCACTCATAGTTAAAATATAATACAATGCTCCTTCATAAGCATGCTAGTTCAGGCACAAGGGAACAGTGCTTTTGTAAGTATTTATGAATGGTTATTCCATAATTTGATGAATGTATGTATGTTTAGGCATTTCATTTATCACATAATAGGATAACATTTTAAAAGTAAACACTCATTAAAAATTTCTCTAAATATATAATATGCTTTGAATACATTACTAAGATTCTACTCTCAAATTTCTGTCTCATTTCAAATAATTTGATATCATATTTTGCATCTAAAAGTAATATACTATATGTTTCTTTTTAAAAATATTTTGTTTACTATTATTTTGTGTGTATGGATGTGTTGCCTGCATGTATGTAAGTGCAACCTGTGTTGTGTAATGCCCAAGGAGGTCAGGAGAGGTTATCAGATTCCCCTGGAACTGGAGCTACAGAGGGTGGTTAGCCACCATATGCAGTTGGGAATCAAATTCGGGTCCTCTGCAAGAGTAGCCTGTGCTCTTAACCACGGAGCCATCTCTCTAGCTCACTATATACTTCTTTTAATGTCACAATTACTTGTTTGCTTTTGAAAACAAGTAGGTGACAACTGACCTAGAAAGGAAGTAGCAATAGTCATACTATTTACCATGGAAACTGCACTGTTAAGACAGAGCATGTTCAGGACAAAGGTGAGTATGCGCATAGGCATTGGCAACTATTGCCATAGAGAGATGCTCGTGTCTATTTATTCTTAAGGAACAGAGTCAGGGAATGCAAGAAAGATGGTAAATGTGTCAAAGTAGAGAGGACAGTCAAACGGAAGTGTATTTACCACTGAGAATCCTATGTAGCTATCAACAACAATTTTTGGAAGAGTATGCACTATCTCGGGAAATATTTATCATATATTAAGTGAGACAAGCCATCCATCAATCAATATTACAGCTTTTCAGTTTAGCAAAACATCTCCAATTACTTTTGCCTTTCAGTGCTGGGCTCAGAATATAAGGAAATCATACGGAGCAAATATTATCTCTGGGTAATGATATTATGGGTGATTTTAATTTATGAATATTATATATCTATAACTAAAAATTCCTATAATGATCTTAAACTCTTGAAGATTAATTATTAGCATTAGTGATATCTAGGATAACTAGTTGGAAGTAACTCCAAGAAAACATTGGGCCAAGATGCCACCGTGATGAATTAATAAGATGTAAAAGTTTTTAAAATAACATTGTTCTCTAAGCATTATCTATACTTAGTAGTAAGATAAGAAATAGAGTCCACAATTGAGTGAGCACTTGAGGGGAGCCAGTGTGTAAAGCACATCATACATGTGCCTTTATTACCTTACAGCAACCTTAGGAAGCAGAAATTCTTCTTATTCCCACTTTAGAGATGAAGAAACACTAGTTAGAAAGCAGACCTGCCTTGTCTAAGGTCATTCTATTGGTAACAGGTAAAGTTGGAAGTCTACTCAGGCATCGTTTCTCAGTCCCATATTCCAGTAACTACATTGAGATTATTGCTTCATATTTATTTTGCATATAGTGTGTTAGGTCACAAAACCAATTTTGATTATGGCAATGTGTAGGCTTGCCCATACATGCCAATAGATTTGAGGACTGTAGAGGAATGGAATGCTATTTAAATATAAATATTCAGCATCAGATTAAAGAATACCTTTTATTGGTTTTTGCATGGAAGACAGAGATGATAGTTCTTTTGTTTACAACAATGATACTAACAGGTAAAGAGTTTTCAATATGAGATAAACTTGTTCTGAGAGTAAAATATTGCTGTGGTATGGTTTAATATCCCACAAAAAAATCAGGGCCAAATGCCTTCTCCCCTCTGTCAGTGCAGTCAGGATACTGTTCTTTGTGTCATACATCCAAACTCTGAAGGCAGTGACATTCTAGATCATTAGAGAAAAAAATGGACTAGAAGCAGGATGGAAATTTATGGGTAACAGCTTCAATGCTTTCTTTGTCTAAGAACATGAGAAACCATCCTAACTTTATGTTGTGTGATGCTCCTTGCCTTCTTGGATCAAGAGCTTCCTCGTTTAAGAGACCAATATTACGTTAATAATCTAGCTTCCTGCCTTGCCCTAATTAGTGGCATCTCATGGTATTCACTGTGATATAGAACAAGGAAATACGTGCAGTACAAGTTTCTCAACCTTGGATACGGCTTTGTGAGGGGGAATGGGTTGGTGCATTATAGGATGCTCAGGAGCATCCCTTGGCCTCTACCTACAAGATACCAGCAACAGTAGCAATCCCCTAGTTTGACAAATGCTTAGAATAAAAATGTCTCCAGATATTACCAAATGACTCCTGGGAGAAACTGCTCCAGTGGAGAGCCACTTAGCACAGTATATTCCCAAACATGGCTTTTTAACGGAACAGAAGAACAGCTGTACTCTCCCTGTGAGTTTGTCCCTATAGATGTGGTTGACCAGATAAAGGCTCACCTGTTTACCTGGTGAACGTTGACTTGCTGGCTCAAGTTGGACCCATCAAACTCTGTTGTCTTAGAAAATGTATTTACATTACAATATCTGGGTCAAATATTCTTGGGTCCTGACACTTTATTAATATGCCAAGTGGGAGCAGAGTGGCACATTTCATCTGTTTCTAATTTACAAGAGAGTATACATGCACATGCTTGAAGAGGGAACTAGACGATACAGAAGGGAGTGAGGCAAGCAGAAATCAGAAATCGAATAAAGAAAATGGACAGCAACTGCCTAAAGAATTTCCTGCAGTTACTTCTCTGACCACCCACTGATTCATAATGAAAATACATAACATAATCTAATCTAGAATATGTCCTTTTCCTGAATGTATAGAGAAAGAGTGACTCTTAAGAGATGGAAGTTCTTGGGGACTGGAGAGATGGCTCAGCGGTTAAGAACACTGACTGTTCTTGCAGAGGACCCGGGTTTGAATCCCTGCACCCACATGGCATCTAAAAACTGTCTGTTACTCCAGTTCCAGGGGATCCAACAGCCTCTTCTGTCCTCCGTGGGCATTGCATGATACAGGCTCACTTACCTACATGCAGGCGTAACACTCATACACATAAAATAAAACTATAATGAATAAAATATTTTAAAAAGAGAAGGAAGTCCTCAATCCTGCTTTGTGACTGTGTAACTGAATAATTTCTGAGTCTTAATTCCCTCAGTGAAGAATTAGAAGAGAAAATCATGCCTATACCTTTAAATTATGATAAACACAGAGATGAAGGAGTGAACTATGATCTTGGTAGTAGTGTTTAAAATTATCTTAAAGGTAGCAGGCAAGACTTGGCATTAAAATCTGTTACGCTGGGCTTGAAAGTCAACCAAAAGATGATTTACCAACTGGGATCAATGGAGCTATTCTGCTGTTCTTAGCCTGTTTCTCTATGCTCACAATGGGAGGGAAACACGCCTTCTTGTGATAGCTAGTCTCAGCATGACCTCTGATGTTATGTTTCTGTTGATTTTCAAGCTCTAGAAATCCACCTCTACACTGAAAAGGGCAGACTGGTGCAGCCAATAGGATAGGATTGAGATAACAAAGTGTAAGTTCTAAGGATTGATATAAACCACATTGTGACTTGTATGTGGTTTTCTTGTACTTCCTCTGGGGAATGGCCACTGCCATGTTGTAAAGGCACCAAGCTCCAAAGGAGAAGTCCACATGGCAAAGAACAGAAGTCACTTGCCAACAGCTATGTAAGCACCCCATTCTGAAGCCATTCTCTAGCATCAGGCAACAGTTTAGAACACAATTGCAACTACATGAGGGACTTTGAGGCAGTATCTCCCAGCTAAGTTGAGTTCTTGATCTATACTACAACTACCCATTGTAGTGCTCAAGACAATTCCATCCATTTATGCATATATCCAAAGCACCTAGATTTCTACCTGGTAGATCATAAGTGTTCATTAAATATCTTTTGATTGAATTTTAGATACTGTTAACTTTACTATAACTAACACTATCATAATTCTATACAGCATCAATGAAAAGTTATTTTCCAGATGAGTTGAATTCCCAAATTTATTCATCTAAAAATTCCTTGACCTTAATTTTCCTTAAAAAATATCTACCTCTGAGCCTGGAGAGATGACTCAGGAGTTAAGAGCACTGACTGCTCTTGCAGAGGACCTGGGTTCAATTCCCAGCACCCACATGGCGGCTGCGAACCATGCTTAACTCCAGTTTCACAGGAATCCAAAGCCTTCTTCTGACCTCCATGGTTTGCACAACACTGGTGCACTCTCTTACAATGCAGGCAATATACTCATACATATAAAATAAAAATAATTAAAAAACAGCAAAAAATCTATTTCTAAAGCCAGACATCTTTATATATATATTGTATATATGAAATATACAAAATCATATATATTATTATAAAAGAAAACTAGTGACTGAGTAATTTATAATAATCAATTCCCCACAATTCTAGAGGTTGGGATGCATAAGACCAAGGCACAAGCATCTGGTGAGAGTCTTTCTTGCTACCTACCACATAGTGGGAGACAGAATGGGGGGGACACAAGAGGGGCCTGAACTGACCCTTTCAAATAGCATTAACCTCACTCAAGTTGGGGGAGCCCTCATGACTCAGTCACTACCCAAAGGCCCTAGGTTCCCAAGCCAGCACAATGGCAGCCCATTGTCAGCATGAGTTTTGGAGTGGAAATTCAAACGTAGCACCAGAGAAATAAAAATTTAAAACCTGTACTGAGTTCAGGCATTTAACTTTATAACACTTTAGATATACCCTTCCCATGTTTATAACACTTTAGATATATCCTTTCCATGGTCCAAAACCACAGTTAGTTTAAACAAGAAAACACATGTATGTAGTGAATACCTGAATGAAAACCCAGAGAGCACTAAATCCTGTTACTTACCATCCACACAGGAAGGTCGATTTCTTGTTGTTCCGGCCACTTTTCCAGGTAGACAGGAACACTTCACTGTTTGCGACCGCTCCTCTATGCGGTTCTTGTTACAACATCTATGGGCTGCGATCACTTCACAGGTCCCTCCTTCTGGCAAGACAGAAAGAAAAAGGACATTGATTAGATCTAACCCAGGGGCCATTGAGGCCTAAGGGAATACATGCACAGGATTTGTAGACAGTGATAGAAATTATAGAAAGTGTTTTCAGGAAATATAATGAATAAGGAACTCTTTTCCGTGATCAGAATAGCCTTAGAGAAGACAGGTATTGCAGTGTTATACCCAACACAGAAGAGAATACCAATGAATAAACCAGGGAATAATGGTCATCTT